AGGGGGGGGTGCATTTGAGGTGTGTGCGTCTGGCCGTGCTGGCTTTGGGGGTGCATTGCGGGGGGGGGCAGGAGTTGCCCACCCCGGGGGTGGGGATGGGGTGCAGCTCCCTGCAGGACCCCCAGGGCAGTGCCAAGGGTGCTGGGAGGCTCCCGAGCACACAGGGGGACCCTGGCGGTGCCCCCATTCCCTGCATCCTGCTGTGGACCCACAGGCAGACGCCAGAGTGGGGGTTGCTTCACTGTCCCCCACCCGCCTGCTGCTGCCACTGCTTCAACTTGCCTTAAAACCACCCCAGGAAGCCCATTCTGCCTTAATGCGGGGTACGACGGGGAGGCGTGAGCCCCCGGCATCGCCGCGCCCCAGCTCCATCCTCGCTGCACCACACTGATGGGGTTTCCCTTTGAGGTCCCAGTTACGGGACAAGGCCAGTGTCACAGCTGTCACCGTCACCAGCGGGTTTGGGGACAGCGGCCGTCGCTCCACGGCGGCAGGGGATTTGCCTTCTCAAACTGGCCCAAAAGCCTTGCAAAGGGGAAGTCCTGCTTTGGTGGATTTTGTGTCTTTTTTTTTTTTTTCAAGGGAGGAGACCTTGAGGACTCGCTGCCCCGCTTGAACAGGCTCAGGTCACCCCAAGAAATGCAGGAGGTGCCGATACATTACTCGGGTGCATCCAGACATCAAATCCCCGGGGATTTTTGGGGGGACATACGGTTGCTTTTCCTGATGGCTGTTTAATTGTGCAACAGCACTTATGACCACTGACAGCTCCTGAGATTTGTTGCCCTCACCCCATTGCTTGTGCAAGGCCAGTCTTGTACCTCGTGACTTCTCTTTTTTTTTTTTTTCCAATTTCTGAAAATACCCGAATTCCTGTAATGCTAAAGCGGGGCAGAACGAGCCGTAAAACCCGCTGAAACGGTGGCTTTTTTGCACAACCTGCTGAATTTGTTAAGATTAATGAGTGTTACTTTGCTTGGTGATGCTGGGGTTTGTTGGGTGGTTGTCTTTTAACAGCCTCCACCCAAAATCTGTCCGTCTGTCTAATATAAATTTTTTTGTAATGGGATGGAAATCTGAGCAGTGGGTTCATGCCCAGGGTGCTGGCATAGGGCTGATGCTGTGTGGAGGTGCTGCGTGGTATTAACTTTAACCTTAACATTTAACTTTATTTATGAAAAAGAAAGGGATTTCCATTAGTTGGACATGCAGAAGGTGGCAAAACCCTAAATTAGTTAATTTGCTGCCTAACAAGGCAGAAAAATACAGCATGGAGATGGCATTGCTGGGGGCCAGGGAGCAGGAGGCGCAGACACCCATTAACCGTTCTGGCAGTTGCCTCCAGATGGATCCCTGTGTCTTGTAATGCTGATTTTTATTTTATTTTTAAATTTTGTAAACCTTAAACGGGATGGAATCATCATGTTTTCTTGCTGAAGCTTTGCGGTTGGGTTTGAAGCGGGTTTGCAAGGAGCTAACTTCATCCTGCTAATTCTGGCAGGTCGTTTGCACGGCGGCCACTGCTGCCTCCTGCCTGGATGTTAGACACACACCCGGCTTCATAACTCATAACCTTGCCAAAACCACGTGGTTTTGAGCAAAATCCACCAAAGTCAGGATTTTTAGTCATACTCAGCAGCTACAAGGCAGTATCCTGCACCTTGCTGATGCCAAACGCTCCAAGCAAGGTTTTTGCACCCTCCCAGGAGCCTCCCTCAAGTCTCCTCGTCCCTAATTGCTAATTAGGAGAGGAAAATACTTGCAAAAACCAGAGATCTGCCCCTGAGATGGGTGTACAGGGACGGGACAGCTGGAGTGACGGCAGGGGGAGATTTGTGTGATGCAGACAGGATTTCTGTGCCTGGGGATGCCCCCATATAGCAAGGATGCTCAGCAAGGGTTCAGGCTGTGGGCTTGCTGTTTGGGTGGCTGCTGCTGAAAGCAAGAGCTGGAGCCTGATGCCCTCACCCCACACCACTACTGGAGTCTCTGTAAGACCTATAGCCGGAGCTGCAGCCAGCGATGCAAATACCCCTGGGCTAAAAACCTGACACATGCAGGGTGCTATTTCATTCCAACCACGAAGTCATCTCTGAATCAGCTGGGCAGCTTGGAGGAAGAAAGGAGGAAACCCCTTTGCCAGCACAGGGCCAAGCCATGAAAAGAAATTCAGTGTATTGTTCCTAATGACTACGCACTTAGCAGCATGTAATTGCAGCAAATAACCCCTCTTAAAATTGGCAGCCTTTGCAGAGCTCCCAGCTCGTTTAAATGTTGTTAAAATTGCCTTCATCTTGCAAACTGGCAGGGCTGGATGGGTTTGCCCTGCCTGGGAGATGGGTCAGGCAGCCATTGAGCCCCTGGTTCCTCTTTCCCTCTTTCCCCTTGGTCTGTGGCCTGGTGCTGCTGAGTTTTTCAGAGCTTTTCCTTCCCCTTGCAAGACCCAAGATATCCCAAAAGTTTCATACTGCAGTTCCCCCGGGGCCCTGGAGGATGTGTTTGTGGGTGGGAGGTGAGCTAAAAAAAACAGCCCCACCCTTCCCTTGGTGTAAGAGCATCTTCATCACATTTAAAACAGTCTTGTGGCAAGGGGTTGGCGACATCATCCCTCTTGGAGGGGCTTTTTTCTGTGCAAGGACTGCTCAGGGTTTGTTCCTAAGCCTGGCTAAGGGTGGGAGGGTTTGGGGTGGATATGGGATCGCTACCTGCCTCTCCCTGGGGACAGAGTCATCTTAAGTTGGATGTTGGGTTTCCTGGCTGGAGGACACCAGGCTACAGCAGTCTAGATGAGATGGGGAATACAGTGCTGTTTATTTGAAGTCTTGATGTGTTGTGTGGGTGATACAGGCATCTCCAGCTCAAACCATGGTGCAGAAGACATCAGCCAAGCCTGTATTAATGCACTTTTCCTTTGTATCTCCCTGTTCAGACTGAAGGACCTTGAGGTGGCCGAGCTGGGGGACTCCGATGTCCATGTCAAGATGTTGGCAGCTCCCATCAATCCCGCCGACATCAATATGATCCAGGGTAATGCGCCAGCTGCATCTTTTTTTGCGTATTAATTCCCAGCGGGATGTCTGGGAGGATTTGGAGCCGGCTCCTGGGCTGGGGAGGTCTGGGGTGTGACAAGGTCTACAGCTCATCTCCAGCTTCCCGACAGGGACCTACGCCATCATCTCCACGCTGCCGGCCGTGGGAGGCAATGAAGGTGTCGGGGAAGTGCTGGAGGTTGGGCGTCGGGTGACAGCTCTGAAACCCGGGGACCGGGTCATCCCGGCGGTCACTGGACTGGGTGAGTGTGTACCCCAGCCACGGCACCGCTGGCTCCGTGCTCACCCCTGAGGTCTTTCTGCATGTCCCCTCGCCTGCAGAGCATCTTCCCGGGGGATTTTTGGGATGCTCGAGCCCACCAGGAGCTGCCCAAGCTCTGTGATGGAGCAGAGAGCAAACCCGTGGTCATGCCCGCAGGCAAACTGATGCTTCAGGAGCTGGCCACGGGGATTTTGGGGGTCTCGGAGCAAAACTGCTGCTCTCCAAAGCATCGTCTTTGCTGGGTATGGGTAGAGCCACGTGCCCCTCCCGCTTACAGCAATGACATCTAATTGGATGTGACTTAAAATGGGAAAAAAGAAAGCTCCATTAGAGAATGTTGGGTGAGGGAAGCAGCAGTTGGAACCCATTTAGTGCCATATCAGCCTAATCATAAATATAATGGGCTGGATTGTTTCAGACAAGAAACATCAGGATAACTGCTGGAGCTGCACAAAGACATCTTCATTTCTCAACTGTTTATAGCTTGGTTTAAGTTTGATAATTTCCACCGCGTATTTTTATTTTTAATGTATTTTTTTTTCCAGACAAGCTCAGTACCTGATCCTGAGCCACAGCGAGAGATGCTGTCATCCTCTACAGATGCAGGGGGGGGCTCCAGGGAAGGGTGGGAGTTCCTGGGGAAGGGGCTCCTGTGCACGGGACACACGCAGTGTGAAAACCCAGAGCACTTGCAGTAGCAGCAGTAGCGATGCCATTGCTTATGCTAAACTTGAATTTAGAAATAATCTACTTTTCTATAGCATAGACCCTTTAATGGGGCTTCTGCACCGTTACGAAGCATCGCAGCAATCTGTGCTTCTCTGGAAAAAAAAAGGTGTTTTGTCACATCTACTTGGAGCTTCTTTAAAGACCTGGGATAAAGCATTTAACCTGTGCAAGGTCGTGGTTATATCTCATTACAGTTTTCTCCTTAATAGTGCTCTGATGGGAAAGCATGGGAATTTATTTTCCAACAACTGTCTCTTGTGATCCTCCAAAATGCCAATGGCCAGAAAAATTGTCAGTTCTGTTTTAGTGTAACAGCTTGTTCTTTGCCTATTTCTTCTTAAAAGGCTTTTCCTCTTAATGGGAGAAGGAAAGCTATCTAGTTAAGATCGAAATGTAATATTTTTAAACATTAGAAAAAAAGTAAATGGATGGTTGGGGGTTAAATCAGATATAAATGTAGAGGGACAAAAATCTAAGTAAATTGGGTTTGAATATATGGGCTCATCCCTAGGGTGGGGAGTATTTTCATTAGCTCTGCACACACTCCCCGTGCCCAGGGAGCCCTGGTCCTCTTATCTCTCTGGGAAACGATTAGACTTTGCTGGTGATAAATCTCAGCTGGCAGCGGGGGATCCATCCCCTGCCTCTCACAATATTTTGGCCGTATCCATATGGCACAATGTTCCGTAATTCACTCTCCAGGACTGAGACCGTGCACAGTGCGGTGATGCTGCTGCAGCCAGTGTTAAGGTTGTGGCGTGAGGTCTCACGACATTTTCCTTTCCTTGCCCACCTTCCTGCCGCGCTGCCTGTGGTGCTGCCGGCGCCGCAGGGACGTGGCGGACGCGGGGGGTGTTCCCCGAGGAGACGCTGCTGAAGGTGCCCGGTGACATCCCGGTGCTGAGCGCCGCCACCCTGAGCGTCAACCCCTGCACGGCGTACCGCATGCTGGTCGACTTCGAGACCTTGGCGCCAGGTACGGCTCTGCTGGGCGGAAGGAAATCCAGGTGGATTTTCTGATTGTTGCTGTGATGAAAATCTGGATTTATTTATATCTAGGTGACTCCGTCATCCAGAACGCCGCCAACAGCGGCGTGGGCCAGGCTGTTATCCAGATTGCCAAAGCCTCCGGCATCAAAACCATCAACGTGTTGAGGGACAGGTGGGTCCCCTGCGAGAGGAGAAGGGCTTCTGCGAGGCAGGAGCTGCCCTCGGCCTGGGCTGGAGGTTGACAGGGGGCCAGGCAAGTTGGGGAGTTGGGTCATCCTGCCCCTCCAACGCAGGATGTTCTCCTGTTTGTCCTCCAGCCGCTGCCCTGTTGTCCCTCGGCTACACCTGAGCAGGAGGGAGAAGGTGACACTGCTTTCTGGCTCATCTGGGGTTCTAATTGCCAAGCAGCTGACCATGAGCCAGCAGTGTCCCTGGGTGGCCAAGAAAGCCAACGGCATCCTGGCTTGTATCAGCACTAGTGTGACCAGCAGGAGCAGGGAGGTGACAGTCCCCTGTGCTCCGCACTGGTGAGGCCACACCTGGAGCGTTGTGTCCAGGTTTGGGCACCTCAATACGAGAGATCTCGAGGGGCTGGAGCGAGGGCAGAGGAGGGCGACGAGGCTGGGGGAGGGCCTGGAGAATAAATCCTGTGAGGAGCCAGGGAAGGAGCTGGGAGTGTTCAGTGTGAGGAGGAGGAGGCTGAGGGGAGCCCTCATCCCTCTCTGCAGCTCCTGACAGGACATTGCAGAGAGGCTGGGGCTGGGCTCTGCTCCCAGGGGATCAGGGACAGGAACGGCTGGAAACTGCAACAGGGGAGGGTCAGGCTGGGCAGGAGGAAAAGGTGTTTCCCAGACAGAGTTGTCCGAGAGTGGAACAGGCTGCCCAGGGAGGGGGGGGGGAGTCCCCACCCCTGGGTGTGTTTAAGGGCCATTTGGGTGAGATGTGGGGGATGTGGGGTAGGGGAGAACTTTGTAGAGTCAGGCTAAGGGTTGGACTCGATGATCCCGAGGGTCTTTTCCAACCTGAATGATTCTGTGATCAAGTCCTTATTTTTTTTTCACTTCCCCAGACCTGATCTTCCAAAGCTGGTGGAGAGGCTCATGGCCCTGGGTGCAGACCATGTCATCACGGAGGAGATGCTGAGAAAGCCAGAGATGAAAGATATATTTAAGGTACCTCAGTGCTGATCCCACAGGAGACACCTATGAAAGGAGGTTGCAGAGAGCTGGGGATGAGTCTTTTTAACCAAGTAATAAGTGATAAGACAAGAGGGAATGGCCTCAAGTTGCACCAGGGAAAGTTTAGACTAGATATTAGGAAGTATTTCTTTCCAGAAGGGGTTGTTGGGCGTTGGAATGGGCTGCCCAGGGCAGGGGGTGAGTCCCCATCCCTGGAGGGGTTGAAGAGTCGGGCTGAGCCAGCGCTGAGGGATCTGGGGGAGTTGGGAACGGTCAGGGTGAGGGTCATGGTTGGGCTGGAGGAGCTTCAGGGGCTTTTCCAACCGAGATGATTCTGTGAATCTGTGAGACCGCTGGGGCTGCCCCTGTGGTTCAGTGCTGCAGGGATGGTGGGAAGGACAACTGATTCTCTAGATCAGGATTCAGCCCCAGAAGTTGAGGGCTTTTGCTGCTATCGCAAGGGCCAGATCATTGATTTTAGCTCTACAGCTCTTAGCTGCCCCCACGTAAATGCTGAGGTTAAGGCAGTTGTTCCCTCAAGAACCACAGTCCCATCCTCAAAAGGAGTCCTAATATTTGGGAACCTTCCTACTAAACTCTTGCAGAGCATCCCGAAGCCCCGGCTCGCCCTGAACTGCGTCGGAGGCAAAAGCACTACGGAAATGCTGCGGCATCTGCAGTAAGTTTGGCTGGGTGGTGGCCTGGGTGTGGGCTCGGGGACAGCAGCCAGCACCAGAGGGTCCTGCTCCAGACCCCCCAGAGCGCAAGAGCTGGCCGGAGACATTAGTTAGTTGATGTTGATCATCACTGAAATTTTAGAGAGGGGAAATGAGTGGAGAAGTGGTTTTGGAAAATAGCAGTGACTTCAGGTTAACCCATAGTCACTGTGTGTCCCAAACACTGCCAGTGGCTGGAAACAAGTGAGGTCCACCCAGTCCTGACCAGGCATAACTGGTGTTTTTAGCTGCAAATTCAAGTAATGGTGCATGGGAGCAAGAGGGGAGCTCTGGAAAGTGGAGTCTGGGGGAGCCCTTGGTGGGAGAGCGGCTCCATCAGAGCAGTGGTAGGGTTGGGTGTGGCAGCGGGAGAGGTTGTGAGGCCAAAGCTGAACATGGGGGACCACATAACCAAATACCCCCTCCCTCTTCCAGGCCCAAAGGGACCATGGTCACCTACGGGGGGATGGCAAAGCAGCCTGTGACGGTGCCTGTGGTGAGTACTGGAGATGCTCTTGATTTCCCTTGGGGCACGTTGTGTAGGAGTTTCACTGAGGGCAAATGCCGGGGGCTGCCCTTGGGCCACAACAACCCCCAGCGGGGCTGCAGGCCTGGGGAGGGGCAGCTGGAGAGCTGCGGGTCAGAGAGGGACTGGGGGGGTGAGAATGAGCCAGAGTGTGCCCAGGGGGGCAAGAGGGCAAATGGCATCCTGGCTTGTGTCAGCACTGGCGTGGCCACAGGGACAGGGAAGGGATCTGAGCCCTGGGCTCAGCACTGGGGAGGCCGCCCCTCGCTGAGTGGGTTCAGTTTTGGGCCCCTCACCCCAAAAAGGCCATTGAATGACTCGAGCGTGGCCAGAGAAGGGCAACGGAGCTGGGGCAGGGTCTGGAGCACAGGTCTGCTGGGGAGCGGCTGGGGGAACTGGGGGGGTTCAGTCTGGAGAAGAGGAGGCTGAGGGGAGACCTCCTGGCCCTCGGCAACTCCCTGCCAGGAGGGGGCAGAGAGGGGGGATGAGTCTCTGGAGCCAAGGCCCCAGCGCCAGGCCCCGAGGGAATGGCCTCAAGCTGCCCAGGGCAGGGTCAGGCTGGCTCTGAGGAAGGATTTCTGTGCAGAAGGGGCTGTTGGGCGTTGGAATGGGCTGCCCAGGGCAGGGGGGAGTCCCCGGGATCCCTGGAGGGGTTGAAGAGTCGGGCTGAGCCAGCGCTGAGGGATCTGGGGGAGTTGGGAACGGTCAGGGTGAGGTTCATGGTTGGGCTGGAGGAGCTGCAAGGGCTTTTCCAACCTGGATGATTCTGGGGTTCTGTGTGCTCCGCTGCAGATGTCCCCATCCCCTCAGCTCTTGATCGGCACGAGAGGAGCTTGGCTCTCCCCTGCCTACAAATTTAGAGCCTCCAAACTTCTTTTTATTTAACTGATTGGATTCATTATGGGACGAGCTGCTTCGCAGCCCAGTGGCTTTATTTATGGAGGATTTGTTGATGGACCGATGTGAAATCCCAGCAGGGAAATGCCCCTGCAGACACCGAGCATCAAACCCACCCTGACTCCACACCTCGGAGTCGCATCTCCGCACCCCTCTGAGCCCTGGCTCCCAAATGAGAGCGCTAAGGAAGGAGCAAGGAGCCTCGCTGCCACCTTCCACGGCAGTCACACTGGGAGGGACACGCAGATCTCACTGGGTGCTCCTCTCCCTCTCTCCACAGAGCGCGTTCATCTTCCGGGACGTGCGGCTCCGCGGCTTCTGGATGACCCAGTGGAAGAAGGACCACGCAGAGGGTGAGCTGGATGGGTGCTGAGGGACAGCACTGGAGCAGCAGGTCCGCACGGGAATGGGTGCTAAACCACCACATTGGTGCCATCCTCTTTGTTCTTACTTGTGTCATGAGTGCCAACAGTCCTCGGGGAGGCTGAAACGCGGGCGGTGGGCGATGTGGCTCAGGGAGGGACCGTGGCCTGTCGCTGTGCCGGGGGCTCTTGCCCCGTCCCACGTGCCTGGGCTGGGAGCACATCACAACCCCGGGACCCCCAGGACCCTGTGTGGCTTCAGCCCAGGGCACAGCTTCAACCTGGCACGGCTCAGGTTGGGCACACACAAGGGTGAGAGCTCCCTCCTTCCCTCACAGACCAGGAGAGCCTGGGCAGCATGATGGACGCCTTGTGCCAGCTCATCCGGAGCGGGCAGCTGGCCGCCCCGGCCTGCACCGAGGTCCTGCTCCAGGACTACAAGGCAGCGCTGGAGGCCACCATGAAGCCCTTCGTGTCCTCGAAGCAGATCCTCCTCCTCTGACCTGCCAAGACCTCAGCTTGTGGGTGGCAGCGGGCTGAGCCCAGTGCTGCCCCACCACCACCAAACTTTCCCTTGCTGCCTTGTCCACAGACAAGAGATGTTTAGGGGGTAAAATACCCTCCAGATCCATTGATTTTTTTTCTTTTTGCTTTTTTTTTTTTTTTAAACTTTTGGATGCCCCCTTCGCCTCTGCAGCTTTGCATGGGTGGCAGTGTGTGTAACTGCTCCTGGAAGGAGGCTGCAGCCTCACTTTAGCTGGGGTGAATTTGGGTGCAAGAGAAAGCTCAGGGAGCCAGGGACGGTGGCTTGCTCAGCTCAGGGTGTCAGAAGAGCAGCAGTTCCCCCTCACGCCTGTTTTTGGGGCTGGGGGGGGGCTGTGCCACTGCCTCCTGCCTGGCTTAGCTGCTGTCTGTGTTGTTCTGCTGTTTGCACTGTCCCTCCAGGTGTTTTTTGGCTGCTTTTGGGTGACATTGACTTTGCAGGGTAGCACGGGGCTGGTCGCTGCCCTTCTCCCAGCTGGCACAGCCCCCCCCTGCGCTGCTGCAGCCTCTGAGCCATGTCCCCCCCTCCAAGTCTGGCAGCCAAGCTCCCCTGGGCTGGGGGCACTCCCCACATTGAATTGCAGAGAAAAAACAAGTTTTTTAATTTATTTGGGGTTTTTTTTAAATATTTTTATCATTTTTTCCCTGCCCAGCCCATGCAATGCTGCCAGGACTGGCATGGGGGCTGCCTGTTCAGCCTGGACGACAAGGGCACAAAGGGCTTTTCCAGCCCTTGGCATCACTTCATCTCTAAAATGAGTTCAAGCGAGTTAAAAAGAAACTCTGAGTTACCAAGAACCAGCCAGTGCTGCTGCACCAGTGGGAGCTGTAAGACACCATCGTCCCTTCCGGAACAGCCATTCAGCGTGGGGACAGGACTCGCCCAGCAAATAACAGCCGGACACATGTTGGGCAGGGAGGGTTTTTGCAATACCTGGACTTGAATTTAGTTTTGCTGCTGTTCCTGCTGCCACTACTGATTGTGATAAGAACCTCTTGGAAATCACTGTCTAATATACATATTTTTTTTTTTACAATGCTGCCAATAAATGTTTCTGTGCTGAGTGGGGCACGTGAGGGTGGGCAGGGGATGCGTGCCATTGAGGGTGGGCACGTTGGAAGCACCGGCCTCCCTTGCTGCCTGGCCCTCTTCCTGTCCTAAATCTCAGGGATTTTCCATCCTGTAAAGCTTTAAGTACAATTGCATGTAAGCAGTTGGCGTCCTGCTAAAAGCAGCTACAGGATGGATGTAGTTTTGGGCAGCAAGCTGCTGGCCGCTGTAGGCGAGACAGGGCTACCTCTGTCCTGTCAGTGCTCATCAGGTACCAAAACCAGCATTTCTTACCACAGATCTGTCCCCTAGGCCAAAGACACATGTTTTCCCCCCAAATCCTGCAATGGGAAGGACAAGGCTCTTCCTTGGGGCAACAGGGCTTGGGAGACAAGAGCCAAGAGTCCATTCAGAAGCCATTTCAAAGCAATACACTGATCATCTTAATTACAGTTTTTGGTCTTAGTTATGATATTTAGTGAGGGGGAAGCTGCTGGTGATGTCCCTCAGCTCCATGGCCAGAAAAACTCTGGGGTGAGGGCATGGTACCTGCGCAGGGGCACACCCGCCCAGCCTTCTGAGGTCCACTGCAAGCGACAAAGAAAGCCCGGGTTATTTATTCCGAAATCTCTTTTTCAGGTGAAATAAACTGTTGCACCAGGTCAGAGCAAGTTCTTTGATTATTTTGTGCAAAGCCGTAGTGCAGCACTGTGCCGTGCCTGGGGTAAAACCATCCTGCAGCTGATCATCCCGCAGTTGCGGAATCAGCGATGAATTTTTTCATTCCTGTAGGGACTTTTTGAGTGTCGCCAGTGGAGAGTGGTAAACGGCCGCTCTGCTCCACGCTGCCTTTTCCTGATGGCAGCGAAGAGCTTCAAGCAGCACATTTACTTCCCCGGAGGGTGACATGCAATGGAAAACACCAGTATGTAAAACTACTGATGCAGGGGGGAGTCTCGCTCCCAAACCTCAGCTTTTAAGTGTGAAAAAAGAGGAGTTACGCATCATACCATCATTTTGAGGCATTTTCTGGGTCCTGGGGGGCAAGGAGGAGAGCGGTGGGGTGGGGACGTTGCTCAAGGTCGCAGGGGGCTCCTCTACAATTGCCTGTGCTTTTGGAAGAGCAAACCACTTTGAAATTAAAAGCCTGTGTTAGCAGCTAAATTTGCCTGGACATATGATGCCATTTTATCCCCTCTACAACCCCTTGCACTGAGACCTCCTTTAGGCAAGAGCAAACCAAGAAGCCTATGAGATGTAACCCATGATTAAGTCCTTGCCAGCATCTCCCCTCTGCTCTCCCATCACTGTTTAAACACCCCAGTATTTTGTGTTTTCATTATTCCCACAGCAAAGGCGCCAGCATTGGAGACGGAGCGGCATCATGCGCCCCAGCACTTTCCTGATCGACAAATAAAGTGGGGAAAAAAAGGAAGAAAAGGACGTTGAGATCGTTAAGAGCACTATTAAGCATGACATAAACCAGAAAAATTAATGCAGAGCTTTTATCCCCCCTTGTTTATTTGACTCAACAATAAAACCTATCAAGCTTTAGAGAACTCTCTCACTTTCACAAAATGTTCCTGAGTGCTTACTCCTACACCAGGGCACGAAGGAATAAATAATTAAATTTAACTCTACTTGTCAAATGAGAGGGATCGCGGTTGGAAATCCAGCTGCTGGGTTGCACATACATGTTATTAATTCAGGGGGGGTGATGGTGGGGTTTTTCTTAGTGGAGTGGTGGCTGCTGAAGCTGAAATGTTCCTGAGAGCATCTGCTGGGGTTTGGTACAGTTCAGGCATCTGATGTGTCGACTGAAACGATAAAAATAAGTCCCCAAAAATGGCATTTAGGGATCTGCAGAGGGGTGGTGGTGCTCACCAGTGGGAAGGAGGAATGGCTGAGTGCGGCCAGGGATGGGGGGTGTCCCCAGGGAGGGGGGACGCCGTGGGGGACCCCTGAGCACCCCTGGGTGTGGGGACCCCCATCCCTGCCTGCATTTGGGGAAGGAGGAGCCCATCGGTATCTGGCATTTTAGGAAGAGGGCACCCCACCAGCCCCTGATGTGTAGGGGACCCCAAAAGTACCTTGGCACATGGGGGACCCCCACCACTGCCTGGCATGTGGGGAACGGGGACCCCCACGAGCCCCCTGACTCACGGGAAGGGGAACCCCCATCACTGCCGTGCACATGGGGAAGGAGAACCCCCACGAGCCCCCCAACCCACGGGATGGGGAGCCCCAACACCACCCCGTATATGGGGAGGGGAGACCCAACTCATGGCCTCGTCATCAGGCGAGTGGGGACCCCACGAGCCCCCTGACACATGGGTGACCCCCACTAGTGCCCTCCAACATGGGGTAGGGGGAGCGGTACAAGCCCCCCACATGGGACGGGGAGGACGGGGCCCACCGCCCCGCTGTCACTCAGTGGACTCCCGACAGCGGCGCGGCCCCTTTAAGAGCCGCGAGGAGGCGAGGGAGGGGGCGTGGCTTTTGTATGACGTCTGACCCCCTTATCGCTCACCCGCCTCTC